GTAATTCGGTCGGTACGGCTGCTAGCAGTTTCCCTAAATCACTCTGTTGCTCGTCTTTTTCTACGATTGCGATATCTACTGCGTACACGTCAGCTCCAGCAGCGACAGCTCGTTTCATCGTGATGGCATTGACCTGGACTGTTGAAGCTTCGGGTGGCTGCCAGCGAGGTAGAACGACCCAGTTACCACTACTTCGCACTGTGCAGCTTCCCGTCGTCCAGTCGATCCGTGGGTTGTACCGTCGCAGCCAATCACGTCCCAGTAAAATATCGTGCCCATCCAGCGTCGTTGCGAGCATTTCCTGTGTAAAGCCGAAGTTCCCCCCGCAGCGGACTTTTACTCGCTCCACTTTTTCTCGTATGGCCAAGGGCGTGCCGTCAACTAAACGTGCGTCTATCTCAGGTAAACATCGGTTAAGTGTTAACTGTAGTCTCCGTGCGGTTGCAGTATTAACTAAACTGTGACTTGCTCCTCCGTCGATAAAGATTTTTACTGCTGCTCCCTGTATTTTCCCGTAGATCAGTACCGGGCAATCCGTCGCTGTACCCTCCTTATTCATCCGAGCCCGATCGATAGCGTGAATCGGTACTGTGACTCGGTGAGGGTCGGTGTGGTTGGGCGAGCAGGCAGTCTCGTCAGTAGTTGGCCCGATTTCTACTGACTGCTGGCGTTTCCCTGCCTCTGAGACTCCCTCCCCTGCTCTGCTCCTCGACGCCTCAGCTCCTCTGGACATTCGCTCTTGCGATGGCCCGGCCGGTTGCAAGCAAAGCAGCGCCCTCTAAATGGCGTGGCAGCTGCATTCGTTGTGACGGCGTGTACAGTGGCGTGCTCGATCGGTCCCCGAGGACGATGTCCGAAATAGGACCCCGGTCTCGGTCGGCGTAGGATGTCGATTTTCTCGGCGAGCGCGAGGATTTCGTTGAAATTCGATAGCCCGCGTAGCATTATCTCGTGCGATATGTCCGGCTTCAGCCCTCCGACGTAACGGTCCACCCGCTCCGCCTCGTGCATGTAGCCGACCTGTTCGCAAAGTGCGAGAAAACCGCTGGTGTAGTCTTGGACCGACCCGAGCTGGCGCCAAGTGCGTAGTTTCTGACGCGCTGAAATCGAAGCCGCGATCGGCTCGAAACGCGCCCGAAGCCCTGCGCACCACGCATCCCACGTGCTGTATTGGGCGGTTTCGCAGAATGAAGTCCAGGTAACAGCTGGACCCGAGGGCCCTTCCTCGTGCGACGGTGGCTCGTAGGCGCGTGGCGACGTCACGATGACTCGCCACCAGTCCATGGCGGGGCCCCTGAGTAATGAAACCGCATACCGGATCTTGGCGGCGTCCGACTCGACGTAATTGGCGTCGAAAAACACGTTCATCGTGAAGACCCACGACTGAACTGTCGGGCCGCCGCGTTGGCTTGGGTCGAAGCAGGGTGGTCGTTGCGGTTTGAGTGGCATTGGGGCCATCATGGCGTTTTCGCCACTTGTCGCCGCAAACTCCACGTGCCGACGGGCTTCTCGGTGCTCCCGTGGGCTTGATGTGCTCCTGTTTCCTCCCATGCCGGGCATCGGTTGGGCTGCGCCGTCACTGGCTGCGCCTGAGCGCTGTCCCATGCTGTTGTTTTGTGTCGGTGTGCCGGATGAGATGACAATCGGTTCTTCCAAATGTGCAGAAACATTCGTTGGTGCGTGGGATGTCGTCGGTGCATTCATCGTTGACTGTTGACGGGCGGAGTCACGCTCCGCCGTGAGTGTCGCGATTTCGAGTGCTGACTCCTCCACCTGTCGCACGAGACGATCGAGTTGCTCCTGCGTCAGTGTGGCGAGATTGAAATCGGCCATGGCGGGAGGTGTCGGGCAAGCTCAGCGAGAGCCTCGGTCGTGGCCGTGCGTGCTTTCGAGAGAGCACTACGAGCGGCGGTGCTGTGACGCTGAGAGTCGTCTACCCCCCCCAAAAATTGAGATAGTGGGAAGCGAAGGTGTGGATGCGGTCCGAGATGAGATCGTAGGCTCTGAATACCAAGTGTTACGAGTGCAATTGAGTGAACGAACGAGAATTGCACTATCGAAGCAAGAGTACATTGAGCGAAGGCATGAGCGAACATTATATAGCGAAACTAAAGTGGTAACGGTAATGGTCGCGCGACGAGCCTGGGACTGAGGTTGGGAAAGTGTCGAAGCGTAGGCCCGGAGCGCGGGTTACCAGCCGAGCCGTGAGGTCGGGATGCGATGTGCGAAAAAGGCGGGATGATGAATGATGCGATGGTCGCGAGTGGTAACGGTGCTGACTGAGGTGCTACAGTGATGTACGCGCTGAGCAGGGTCGCGAAGTAAGGAAAAGTGATTTTCCTTACAATAGCTAAGCTAGCTGGGCCTAGGTTGTGGGGTCGCAAGATGGCTGGGTGCAGGTTCGGGGTTGGGAAACCCGAAAGCGACGCGATAGTGGTTCGGAAGGCGAGATCGTCGGACCGAGCCTGGTTTTCCGAAAAGTCAGGTTTGTACGCGTACAGTGTGACCCAGTAAGGAATCCGAAAAAATCCTTACACTACCCCCCCCTTTAAGAAAGGTGGTGAATGTCGGAGACACCCCGGCGGGCCAGGTAAGCATCCACAATCGGATGTCCCAGGAGCGAGTCAGCGGGGACATAAGTGTCATCCTCGCTCGTGCGGTCCTTCCAGCGAAGCAGGAATTTCACGGAGCGGCCGGTGGCGGTCACATCCACGCGGTGGCTCAGAATTTTCCAGGGCTCCAGCGTGGGCTCTGCCACAGGGCGTGTTGTCGGCGCAAGCGTTGGCCGAGCGACAGCTGGTGACTGCGGGGGCTCGTAATGACGCAGAAGTGTACGCGTATAGTGTGACCCAGTAAGGAATCCGAAAAATTCCTTACAGGCTACTTGTAAAACAGAGTAGCTCTGATGACTGGAAGGCTCAACAGAGCTGCTGGACTTCGCTTGATGAGAGAAAACTTACACTATGCTCAAGATTGTACAAGCCCACTAAGGCACAACTTATTAAGCATTACCATCATGTAGATTGATAGCTCAAACTAGGCTGCTAGACAAGGCAACTTCCTGGAAAACTTAGGCACAATTCAGATTTCATGAACCTTGAGTGACTTGAGAGCCACATGAGGTGCATGAATAAGAAAGCTCTTGAATTCTCCGTCATAGCTGATGTTGTTTGGTAGAAACCTGTAGAAACTGTTGACACTTCTTCTTGAAAACAATTCCGAACTGTATCGAGAATTCGACTCCAACCTTATTGGTTGAGAAACTTTCTGATTTGTTTGCGAAGGCTTCAATCCGTTGCCGACATTCCCCCTTTGCTGCTCCTTGTGTGCAAAGGGCTGGGGCGGCAGAAACTTGATTCTCCAACAGGGCTTACGGGGAGCTGCTGTGGTGCAGAAATATCGGTGCTGTTCGCCAGCAAATCGTAGGCCTTGTTCGGTAGGCACCCAGTGAGAGTGGGCCCACTCGCACTGGCGAACCCTTCGTGAGGCTTCCTAGCCTCGGGCCTCAACTCGCACTGAAGGCACCTTCGCGTATGATTTCGTGAGCTTGCGCGACAATAGCGAGGTAACTTCACCCCTTGGGAAAACCGCCCTACATCCGAGCTGTCACTCGTGCTGGTGATGGCCCATTACAGGGGGGGCCCCGAAGTGGACTCGAACTTGTTTTTGCCAGGGAATGAAAATTCTCTCGCAGCTTCGTCACGGCCAGTCCCATCACACTCACACTAGCAAGTTGAGGCGTTAGGTAGCAAACTCTAACTTGTTAGGTTCGGTGTTCCACTAACGAGTTTGTGGGCCTTAAGCATTTACACATTCGAACTGGAGAACCTGCCCTGAGCCATCTGCAGTCAGACTAGGCAGACTACCGAACAAGGCCATAATTTGAAATGAAAAAGTTGGCCTCAGCAGCGCGACCCCATATGGAAACGGAGGCGGAACCCACCTCCGAGGTTTGGCCGTAATGCCGTTCAAGAAATTTCTGCGCCTGCGGTTGCGAAATCTCGCAACCGCATCGAGAACCTCCATCCCCACCTTCCCCCCCGAACCCCTCTTAACGGCAATGCGACGGCTGTGCCATCGCTGTGCTTGGCATGGATTGGGGATGGAACTTTGCCTGGGGACGAAGTTGCGTCCCCGCTTCCGTATGCCGTCGAGCAGTTCGTTTTGGTTGACAAATGGGGGCGTTCGCCAGACACCTTGGTTGATTGTTGGTTTGGACGGTAGGTGAGGCTCGGCGCCTTTTTCACGGGCTGATTAGGCTGACGGAGGTAAACAAACTCTAATTGACGAGATCAGGAAGGCAAGACCCACCTTCCTGATCCCGTCGTTATCCCGTGGTTTTTTCCTTCACAGGTGCTGGTGAACAGCCCGAAAGAGCCCCTGGTGCATCCGTTATCTCCCATCTACCACGTAGTCAGCCGGTACTGCCGACTCCACCAAACCAAACTTCTTTCCTCTATACAAGGATTTTGGGGTATATATAACACGGGGGTGGTTGGGCGCATGCGACGGGAGCTTTTCCAGGCGAGAAACTGCGCGGCTGGGACGGTAACACTACCGGCGGACCCCTGGTGGACCCCTCTGGGGGTCCTGTCCTTGCTAGCTTCTCCACTGTCTTATTGTGCCTAGCAGCCCCCTCTGGCACCCTGTCAGGTCTCTACCTCCCCTCGTTCTCTATGAACTTGGTGAGTGGAGCTGATCTACAGGATAGGGGGGTTGACCAGTTCACTCCTGTGAGTCAGCGGGTGACCCACTGCACGTGTGCTCGGACAAGCCGACACTTGGCCACGTTCACCCATCGGCCGGGGTCGAGCTTGTACACTCTTACTACTGAGTCTCGTCCGGCTGCTGAGTCTGGTCAAGTAGCTGCGTCGCGTCAGGTGTTTGCTGCAGCGTCCTCTGGTCCTGAGTCTGCTCCCTACTCGTGTCGTCTCCTGTCCTACCAGACTCTCCTTTGGCACCATCGCCTTGGTCACCCCTCCCTGCCTCGTCTCTGAGGCATGGCCTCCCGTGTCCTTGTCTCTGGTCTCCCCCGGTCTCTCCCTCCCCTACCTCTGGGGCTTGCCCCTACCTGCGTCCCCTGTGTCAAGGGGCGATAGCGCGCCGCCCCTCACTTCTCCGAGTTTCCTCCGACAGAGGCTCCGCTGCAGACTTTTCACATAGACATGTGGGGCCCCGCCCGCGTCCGTGGCCAGGGACACGAGCGTTACTTCCTGTTGGTGGTTGACGACTACTCGCGTTACACCACAATCTTCCCCTTGCGCAGCAAGGGTGACGTCACTGAGGTGTTGATCGACTGGATCTGCGCAGCTCGTCTCCAGCTCAGACAGAGTTTCGGCTCGGACTTTCCTATTCTGCGTCTGCACTCTGACAGAGGCGGGGAGATTTCCTCTGCCCGTCTGGGAGCCTTCTGACGAGCACAGGGCATCCGCCAGACCATCACGCTTCCGGCCTCTTCACAACAAAATGGGATTGCTGAGCGCCGCATTGGCATGGTCATGGACGTCGCTCGTACGTCCATGACGCATTCGGCTGCCCCCCATTTTCTGTGGTCGTTTGCTGTTCAGTACGCAGCGCATCAGATCAACCTTCAGCCCCAGGTCTCCTTGCCAGAGACCTCCCCCACCTTGCGGTGGACGGGGAAGGTTCGTGATGCGTCTGCGTTTCGGGTCTGGGGATCTCGGGCGTTTGTTCGCGACTTGTCTGCGGACAAGCTATCCCCCCGTGCTGTTCCCTGCGTCTTCCTTGGCTTCCCCCCTGACGCGCCTGGGTGGCAGTTTTACCACCCCACCTAGCGCCGTGTTCTGTCCTTCCAAGACGTCACCTTTGACGAGTCGGCGCCTTACTACCGTCTCTTCCCCTATCGCACTGCGCCCCTCCCCCCACCACCGCTCTTCCTTGCGCCAGGTCCTCCCCCAATAGAACCCCTCCCCCCTCAGGGTCCTGCCTCGTCAGGTGTGTCCCAGGTAGACGCAGTCGAGCCTAGCGAGGTAGCTGTTGACTCAAGTGCTGCTAGAGGTGCTGAGCCAGCGAGTGCCGGGTCTGGAGGTGCTTAGCCTGAGGGTGCGGAGCCTGGGGGTGCTGAGTCAAGGGGTGCGGAGCCTGGGGGTGCTGAGCCTTGGGGTGCTGTGTCCAGGGGTGCGGAGCCTGGGGGTGTTGGGTCTGCTCGTGTGGCCTCTCGCGGTGCTTCGTCGAGGCAAGAGCCACTCTCTCCGCACGAGCTGCGCGAGTGGTTTGCCCAGCGCTGGAGCCGTGCTGCTGGAGCTGGAGGTACTACTATAGCTGCTGGTCCCGGAGGTACTCGTACTGGCAGTACTGGAGCTGCTGGGACTGGGGGTGCTGCAGGGGCTGCTAGAGTTGGTCCTACTACAGGTACTGCTGGAGCTGCTGGCAGTACTGGTGCTGCCGGTCCTGCTGGAGTTGGTGCTGCTGGAGCTGCTGGAGCTGGAGCTGCTGGGGGTGTTGGCGCTGGTGGTTCTGTTGGCGCTGGTGCGTCTGAGGGTGCTGGAGTTGGCGCTGCTGGAGCTGGAGGTGCTACTGGCGCTGGTGCTGTTTCTGGGAGTACTGGTGCTGTCCCTGCTGGTTATGGAGGCGCTGTGCAGCCGCGGCCGTACTTCGTTCCGCTCCTTGAGCACGTTTTTGGTCTACCGCCCTCTACTGGTCTTGCTCCTCCCTTAGAGTGTCCACAGCCTGTCCAATCGCAGTCACAGTTACAGCCCGCCTCCCACCTACCTGCTCCTTCTCCCTACACTAGTCCTACTAGAGGTCTCGCTGAGCGTCGTGAGCCTGCGTCTTGTCCTGCGTCGCTTGTTCGTGCTGCTCACACTAGTAGTCGTGCTCCGCGTCTGCGTCCTCCTGCGGTCCCGGGCACACACCAGATGGCACTGCGTCCTTCCACTGCTCCTCTGCGTCTCCCGTTGCCGTCTCCTCCAGAGTCCTCTCTTCTTGTTCTTACTGACCTTGAGTCTGACACCCTTCGTGCTGCCACTCCTACTGTCATGCGTCTCCTGGCCACTGTTGTCACTAACCCTTCCTTTGAATCCCTTTTGCGTCTGCCTTAGTGGCTGAGCTTGTTGACTTTGCTGCTCGTTGTCCTCTAGACTACACAACTAGTCTTTTTGCTGAGTCTCTGTCTGTCTGTCCTCCGTCCGTCGGGGGTGAGTGTGCTCTTAGCACGGACGTCCTTGAGGACAGGCAGGAGGAGTTCCAGTGGTTTGCTGCTGCTTTACTTCATCTTGTGTCCATGCTGATTGCCCCTGAGGGAGACCCGGATGCACCAAACATCCCGACTCCTCGATCGTACGCTGAGGCGATCGAGGTTCCCTACTCCTCTCAGTGGCAGTCAGCCATGGACGCACAGATGGCTTCCTCGAAGTCCACGGGCACCTACGTTGACGAGGTTCCCCCACCTGGGGTGAACATCGTCAGTGGCATGTGGATTTTCAAGGTGAAGCGGCCGCCGGGTTCTCCACTTGTCTTCAAGGCGCGTTACGTGGCTCGAGGCTTCAGTCAGCAGTAGAGAGTTGACTACTTTCAGACCTTCTCTCCCACCCCGAAGATGACCACTCTTCGGGTGCTGCTGCACATAGCCGCTCAGCACGACTACGAGCTTCACTCTCTTGACTTCAGCACAACTTTCCTGCAGGGTAGCCTGCACGAGGAGATCTGGCTGCGCCGCCCACCTGGCTTCACTGGGTCGTTTCCTCCTGTCTATGGTCTCCGCCAGGCGCCCCGTGAGTGGCACGACATACTGAGGACTACACTTGCGGCTCTTGGGTTTGCTCCTTCTAAAGCCGACCCGTCCCTGTTTCTGCGCACCGACACCTCTTTGCCGCCGTTCTACATCCTCGTGTACGTCGACGACTTGGTCTTTGCCACTGCTGACACTGCTGGACTCGCCCACGTAAAGTCCGAGCTGCAGAAGAGACACACGTGCACAGACCTGGGTGAACTGCGCAGCTACCTTGGCTTGCAGATCACCCGGGACAGAGCACAGCGCACCATTACCCTAACTCAGTCACACATGGTGCAGCAGGTTCTTGAGCGCTTCGACTTCACGTACTCCTCGCCTCAGGCCACTCCTCTGTCTACTCGCCACTCGCTCTCAGCTCTGCCTTCGGATGAGTCCGTCGAGCCGAGTGGCCCATACCCAGAGCTTGTTGGCTGCCTCATGTACCTGATGACCTGCACACGACCTGACCTTGCATACCCTCTTAGCATCTTGGCACGCTATGTTGCTCCTAGGAGACACCGACCGGAGCACATGGCTGCAGCGAAGAGGGTGTTGCACTACTTGCGCAGTACGTCGGGCATGGGGCTAGTGCTTGGAGGGCGACGTCGAGTGGTCCTCACAGGTCACGCAGACGCTTCTTGGGCTGACGACCAGGCTACGCAGCGGTCGTCACAGGGTTACACCTTCAGCCTTGGCTCCGGCTCTGTTTCGTGGCGGTCTACTCGCTCGTATTCTGTTCTCGACTCCAGCTGTGAGGCTGAGATCTACGCGGGGGCCATGGCTGCACAGGAGCTACGCTGGCTCACCTATCTGCTGACTGACCTTAGAGAGCTGCCTCGTTCTCCTCCAGTTCTGTACATAGACAACAAGGCCATGCTGGCCTTGTGTTGGGAGCACAGACTGGAGCACAGAACGAAGCACATTGCTCTTCGCTACTTCCTGGCTCGTGAGCTGCAGCAGCGTGGCCAACTGCGCCTTGCTTACGTGGCCTCTAAGGCCAACACTGCTGATATCTTTACTAAGGCACTTTCGCCTTGTGATCATCAGCGCTTCTGTACTATGCTAGGTCTTGTGCCTACTTGGCCTCACTTGCTCACTTCTTGACCTTGCTTGTACTTTGATCTTTCTATACCTGCACTTGCCTGTTTACCTTTATATATGATCTTGCATGTGAACTGGCCTTGTGGCCTTGCTCTTGTGCTCGGATTGTGTGGTGACGTTGTGATCCACCCTGAGCTTGCTTTGCTTTGCTTGACTGGTCTTGTGACCTCTTGTTCTCCCCCACTTTGCCTATGGGGGTGTGTCAAACTTATATCATATAGCTTGTCTAGGCTATAGTGGGGTAGACACTATGGGGTACAATTTCCTAGGGTTTCCTACTTGTACCCAACCTTGTGCTAGTTCATTCATTCCTCATTTCTTAACACTCCGGCCCTCCTGCCCCATTCCTCGCTCGGAGCATCCCAACGCCCGTCGGCCTAGGGGTGCATCGGACGAGTGCCACGCGACCACTGTAACATGCACATCCTCTTACGTACACTTCGTTTAACAACTTGTTGTTGTAGATTTAATACTCGTTGTATTCGAAAAACACAAAGGAAAGGTTACGTGAGAACGCGAGTTTTTAATGTTATGGTGGGTGCGACTCTCTCGCGGGCTGCAGTCGTGTGCACATCCCAAGTGTTTTTCTCCTGCCTGAGGGTGTCGTGCGTTGTTTTTCAATTCAAGGAAACAGCATCGGGAAAACGGAAGCACAAAATGCATGAAGGGAGATTCCGGCTGTGGGTGTGGCTCGCGGGGTGCCTATTTCCGGTTGCCCCGCACTAACAGGTCATTCGCGCGCATGTCCCTTGGGGCGCTCCTGGCGAGGCCAAGCGGGCCTCGGCAGGCACGGGCCGGGCCTCGCAGGCTCGCGAGCCCGATGGTCCCAGTCCCCGTCACGCGGGGAGAGTGCTGCGTCATGCAGTCCCCGAGCCAGCTCGAAGGGCCGGAGCTGCGTCAGCCTGCTTCCCGCCCCGGACAGGCTGGCGAGCTCGGTTCCGGGCGGTCGACTGCAGCACACGGGCCCTCGCGTGTAGAGGCTCGGAGCCCGATAGTGCTACCGAGGACGCAACCGAGCGACTACCGTTTTCGGAAGTGAAATGTATTGAGATGAGGTGAGGCAAATTCAGGAGCTGAAAGAAAGGGATGGGAGGGAAGGGAAGCGAAGAGCCAAGTCGCCATGCACCCCTTCCCTAGTGTAACCCCAAGGCGCGGGACGCCGCTGCAGCGTCTGGTTGCCGGAAATTTGCGCTGACAAGGCGGGAAGCTTTGGGAAGTTGGCGAAGGAGGTGCGCTGAATGGTGGGGAGCCGCGAAGAACGTCCGAAACGCTGGCGAGTGGACGAAGTTTTTGCCAGCATTGGAAAGACCCCTTATTCCGCTGTGGAGATGAGTTACCGAGTTTTCGCGTGGGATGTGCTCCTGACATCCACGGTGTTAGATGGGGTGGTGATGGTGAGGTGAGCTGACAGGCAGCAACACTATTGGCTCGGATCTTGTGCGAGTGTCAGACCGCGGATTCGAGGGTTGGCCGTCAGGTCAACCGTCCGGAGGGAAAAGCCATTTTCCGCTACAACTACATGTACGTGCTTCGATACGCAAATGTTGCTGTTCGCATGTTGATTCAATGCAAGCATGTAGCTAAATCAGGGACTAAACCATTAACAATCATGCAACTAAACCATTATTGTTCAAGGTGGCTAAATATAAGTTTCTGTGCTTCTCATAATTTCACTACCCTAATGTCGCAACATCAGTTATAGAAAATGTTGTGAAATAAGGCAACCAGCATTTAGTCACCTTTTATGCTTTTTATAGTAGTTCAACGCTGCAATCACATGGTGCGTGGAGGATAAGACGCCTTCAATAGGGGCAAGACCCCACGGTGAGCTTTGAGTAGAGGCAAAGATCCATGGGGAAATAGAGGCATTGAAGTCTTCAAAGCGAGACACGAGTAAAGCCTCCCAGTCCACCTAAATGGAAGTGACATGATGAAGGTGGTGTATGAATGGAGTTCATACGATTATTCGTGTGGTGACTGATCGGGTACCAAGGCATAAGGCCCACTATGAACTGCTCCTGTCAAGGACCTACCACACATGTTTTTTGACTGCGGACATGCACCCTCGGTGGTTGAGTCAATCCAACCGGTAGCCTCGCGACACCTCAACACTTCGGTTGAGGCTGCTGCGGTGTTTTTCCCACTTCCTTACCCGTCGAGCCTCACGGCCCCTTGGTGTCTACTCGTTGGTGCGGCTACCACCATTCTTTGGAGAGATCGCTGCGCCTTTCACTACGAACAGACCTCCTACTCTCGCCTGGAGAATCTGCACCGAATACTGGCTCTGTTCCTGACAGCCTGCAAAATCTACTTCTCACGCCGTTCTAAGTGGTCTGACAAGAAGAAACGTGCCACCATCAACCGGGTCAAGGCACCATCATCGTTACGCCTCCTCGTCTTTAGTTCAGAGGGCTCCCCTCAGCTGCATCCAGATTTTTGAGACTCATGGCTTTTGAACGATACATTTCATCCTCCTTAGGAACAGCTTGGCTTTAGGTGTACATCCCGGTTGAGGCATTGGCCTTCATTCTACCATTCGGTAGGCAAGTAACACAGTTTGTGTAGGTCCTCTAGACCTTGGCTTTTGCCATGCTTGTGGTGTGTACTGTATGCGGTTACAACCATAATAAAAACTTAAACCACTATGAACTGCTCCAGACTTTGTGTGCCTAATGTTTCGTGCCCCGTGGAGATATCCGCGATTTCTCAGCTGCGTCAGCCTTTGTGTGCGGGCAAAAATCGCAGGTGAAATAAAAACTTGGGTGCATTATCTTTTTTTTGCCGTGTGTGTTTCGCTGGTTGGTATGTGTGTGCGTGTTATTTTGTTTTCGGGGTTTTTAAATTTCAACGGAACAACACGGAGACACAAAGCGGTGAGAACAAGAGCAATCGCAGCAAGGGGTGTGGCTCACGGGGTGCCATTTTTCCGTTCCCCCGCATGTGCGTGTTTTCTTTTCAGGGTTATTAGTGTCAACAGAACAACACGGAGACACGGAGGCACGGAGAACAAGAGACATTGTTATTCTTCCGCGTGTTCCAGCAAGGTGGCTCACGGGGTGCCTTTTTTCCGTTCCCTCGCGTGCATGTTATTCCTCCGCGGGTGAGGCTGGCCCGGTGGTCCCTGGCCACGTCACTCGGGGAGCGTGCTGCGTCAGGCGGTCCCCGAGCCAGCTCGGAGACCCGGAGCTGCGTCAGCCTGCTTCCCGCCCGGGACAGGCTGGCGAGCTCGGTTCCGGGCAGTCCAGTGCAGCACGCGTGGTCTGGCGTGCTGGGAGCTCGGAGCCCGGTAGCGCCACCGAGGTCGCTACCGGGCGACTACCGGTATACGATGTGAAATGTATTGTATAATAATACGTAACTCCAAGGCTATAATTTGTTCACCCTAACACAAAATACTATTCAAGAGCAAAACCATTTGTAGACGTGATGCCAACAAGTACCGGTAGTACGGTAGTTACCAAATAAACATCATTAGTGAAGATTTTCTGGCTTCCTGCTATGAGTGTGATTAAACAAGTGAAACGAGGGTTGCTCGTGTCCAGCGTGCACACAATATTACTTAAACTTTACGCATTCGGGTCCTCTCCCTACGTATGTATACCACAATCATAGACCCTCTTCCGCTCTCTTTCCGGTGGGTACTTTGTGTGCGGGATTACGGTATGTTGGAAGTGTCATTTGCTACGATGGATTAATGAACACTCTTATAACTCAGTTCTTCCTACATAGGCAAAGCAATGGCAACAAACCTTTAAGTGCAGTGCTCAATATGTGCAGCCATGAAGGAAGAAAACAAGGTTGTAAGAGATTTGAAGGTGCGCGAGCCGGGTGCAGAGCTAGGGAAATGTTGATGGCAGCAGTCTGCAAGGCTGACTGCACCCACTGCAGCACGTTTCCCTAGGGAAACGGATCAGGCAGGCGCCTGGGAAGGACGTTTGAGGCGCGTCACAACACGCGGGCCGGGTGCAGAGCTGGGGAAATGTCAATGGCAGCAGCCTGCATGGCCGCCTGCACCCACTGCGGCACGTCGCCCCGCGGGAACTGTTGGACCAAGCACATGAGGAGACGAGGATGGAGAGATGGGGATGGTTGGATTTGGAATTGGGATTTGGAATCTGGGATTTGGAATCTGGGATTTGGAATCTGGGATTTGGAATCTGGGATTTGGAATCTGGGATTTGGAATCTGGGATTTGGAATCTGGGATTTGGAATCTGGGATTTGGAATCTGGGATTTGGAATCTGGGATTTGGAATCTGGGATGGGGAATGGGGGGATTGGGGATGAGCGGATTGGGGGATGTGGGGATTGGGGGATGTGGGGATTGGGGGATGTGGGGATTGGGGGATGTGCGGACTGGGGGATGTGGGGATTGGGGGATGTGGGGATTGGGGGATGTGGGGATTGGGGGATGGGAGGATTGGGGTTGGGGATTGGGGGATGTTGGGGTTGGGGGTTGGGGTTGGGGATGTATGTGCGTGTGTGTGTGTGTGTGTGGAGTATGGATCTGTGGGGGGAAGCTGAAAAAGCGGAGGGTGGGAAGATGGAAAAGGGACGGGGAGAAAGCGCGAAAGGGCACACCTGTTTTTGGAGAAAATCAACCACAAAGCTGCAGGGAGCAGGGAGCAGGGGAGAGGAGGAGCAGAGGAACAGGGAGGAGGGAAGCAGGGAGGAGGAGAGCAGGGAGGAGGGGAGCAGGGAGGAGGCAAGTGCATGAGTATTGGACACACAAGGATGCAATGTGATTCTTAGATTATGAGAGAGAGATATGAGGGGTTACGAGGGATTATGTGGGATTAAGAGGGATGTAAATGGCGAGGAAGGAAGGGAGGCAAATGAAGGGAGGGAGGCACATGAAGGGAGAAAGGGAGGGAGGCATACCTGGGGAAGGTGTTATTAAGAATGGCGTTGTGCATTGACCTTGTGAGCTGCATTGCCAGGGAGGAGAGGGGGGCATGGGATGGGCGCAGAGACAAGCCCATTTCACATGTGAGCAGGGTGGACATGTGGGAGTAATGGGCCGGCTGAGAGGCATGCACTGTCTGTTAGACAATTACAACAGACAGTGCCCCCCGCAACTGCCATGCCCTACACCTCCCCCACATTCCAGTTTCACTCTCACTCGCACTCGTTCATAAACCCACTACTCCCCCAGCCAACTTCCGCTCTCAACATATGCTTCCACTCTCACCTCGTCTCACATCCCCAACATCTCCTACCCACCGCCTGTGCCATCCCAATCACATCTCATCTCATGCCACCTCTCTCGCTTTCTCCCCATCTCCACCCATAGCCCCCCTTCCCTCCCCCCCCCCCCCCCCCCACCGAACTCCCCTCCAACCCCCCCACCTGCATCATGTAGGCGATGTTGTGGATGGTGAGCAGATGGTGGGATTTGTGCCTCATCCACCCTCCCATACCCCACCCCACTCCCCTCACCTGCATCATGTAAGCGATGTTATGGATGGTGAGCAGGTGGCAGCCCACGGGGTCCTTGGTCACCAGCGAGTGCAGGTAGGCGCGTGAGAAGCTGCGGCACGCCTGGAGGGTGCAGAGAGATGTAGTGTGGTGCAGTGGGGTGCGGGGGGTGCATTCAGGAGTGGGATGCGGTGGAAGGTGAAACCTGAGACGGTTTGACTGAGCAGGTGGCAGCCAACAGGGTCCTTGGTGACCAGTGAGTGCAGATAGGCGCGTGAGAAGCTGCGGCACGCCTGGAGGGGTGCAGAGGGATGTGGTGTTGGGGATGAGAGGCGAAGAGTACAGATTCACAGGCGGAGAGCAGCAGGCAGCAAGGCAAACCCAGCAGGCAGGGCAGCAGTGCAACTCACCAGGCAGGAGCAGGAGGCGTCGATGGAGTGGTGGTTGGCAAGGAAACACTGACACAGACGCACCAGGAGCAAGGAGGGCGGCGGGGAGACGCACCAGGCAGGCAGCAGAGAGGCAGTGCGACCCACCAGGCAGGAGCAAGAGGGGTCGATGGGGCGGTGGTCATTCGCCATTGCAGCATGCTTGAGCTTCAACACGCCCTCTGGTATCAGAGCCGTGCCGAAGCGTGCCGTGCGCGTGGGGTAGACACAGTCGTACATGTCTGCCCCCAGGGCGGAGCACACCACTATGTCCAATGGGTACCCCACTCCCTGCACAGCCACACGAATGCACACACGCACGCACACACGCACGCATGCGCACATGCACACAAGCATGTTTGAGGTACACATTGGAGAAACAGTCGTACATGTCCGCTCCCAGGGCTGAGCAAACCACTATGTCCAATGGGTACCCCACTTTCTGTGGTGTTTGGACGGGAAAGGGGGAGGGTCACAGGTATGTCTGATACACAACATGCCATGCCATTCCATGCCATGCCATCCCATGCCATGCCGTACCATACCATGACGTATCTTGGCTTGTTGGCCGGCAGGGCTGCCGTGCACTGCGCCACTACACGCCAAAACGACTCCTTGTCCTCGCCGCCCGCCAACCCACCAATAGCGTACCTGGAAATGATAAATGGAGTGAAGTATAATGGGCGGGATGGGAAGGTGGTGCGGATGAAGCAGACGCTGTGAGAGGCAATGGGACAGAGCTGCAATTCTGGATCATACAGAGCAACGCAGGCTGAAGCCACGAGCCAATACAAAACCATTGCCCAAACAGAACGGCATTAGCGGTGGTGACACTGCTGTGAACCAATCCGGACTCGGCTCTGATCGTGCGGGGGTAGGCCGCACGATCCACACTGACGTACCCGGGTAGGTCTCTGTCAATGAGCCCCTTCAGACAGATGTCCCTGCATGCATCAAGGGGGGAAGAGAGAGCGGAGAGAACAGGCGGCAGGCAATGGGAGAGGAAGATGGTAGCAGCAGGGAGCAGGAGAAGGGCGTGCAGGAGATGGAAGTGTGGTTGAGTCGATTCCGAAACTCCCCCAAAAGTGAATCTCATATTGCTGGTGGAGAAAGCGAAGCGAGAGAGGAAAGAGGAGAGAAGATGACGGAGATGTGCTGTGCTGACAACACTACTGCCTATGCCACACTGTCAGACGCCCTTCGGTTTGCCTTCACAAGAATTCACTCACCTGAACCTGCTATTCTAAATTATAACGCTGTTTCCACCTGAGCAGCTACCACCTGAGTTTTCACCTGAGCTTAGGGTCCAGCCCTCCCTGCACAATCCCAAAGAGGTTCTGATCGTGCGGCCGGCTGTGGGCTGCGGGGAGAGAGGGGAGGGAGGGGAGGCACAGCAGCATGCAGGAGACTGGAAGGCTGGGAGGTCGCTGGGAGGCTGGGAGGCTGGGAGAAAGAGGAGCGGGTGGGGCGCTGTGGAGAGCAAGCAGAGGAGAAATGACGAGCTGAACCTCACTGCCTGCTCTCAGTGACACTGGGAGGAATCCCAGTGTCATGTGATGGCTTGTGATGTGAATGCTTACTTGGACCCTCGTACCCCACGAGCCTTACAACCAGTGGCTTTTCTCAATTGGTACCCGCATAGTCACTACATTTAGTTTCACACATGATGCACATCTACGTCCACCTCACCCTGCCTGCACCCCTCACTCCACCCACCCTGACCCCCCCCTGCCTGCACCCCCCCCTGCCTGCACCCACCCCTGCCTGCACCCACCCCTGCCTGCACCCACCCCTGCCTGCACCCACCCCTGCCTGCACCCACCCCTGCCTGCACCCACCCCTGCCTGCACCCACCCCTGCCTGCACCCACCCCTGCCTGCACCCACCCCTGCCTGCACCCACCCCTGCCTGCACCCCCCCCTGCCTGCACCCCCCCCTGCCTGCACCCACCCCTGACTCCACCCACCTCGGCCCATGCCCCCCACCCTGCCTGCACCCCTCACTCCACCTCACCCTGCATGCATCGGTCCATCCACCTCAGCGTGCGATGTGTCGCCTCCTCGATGCGCGGGCCTGACACCAGGCTGCTGACCACGTCATCCAGAGCCATGATGATGTCAGCACCGATCTTGTTCTGCGCTCCTTCCAGGATACAGCCCATGAGTTAGTCACACAAGAGAAAACGCATGGCGGAGGGCTTTTAAGGGGTGTGATCTGGTGAAATGAATGGTGGGTGATGGAGGTAATTCAAAGTAAAACACACATGGTCGTTCATTAAAAGAGACCAAGCGGATCACCTGTAGTTCCCAATTCTAGTCCCCTCCCACAGTTCCCTCCCACAGTTCCCTCCCACAGTTCCCTCCCTCAGTTCCCTCCCACAGTTCCCTCCCACAGTTCCCTCCCACAGGCACCTGGATGGCGATGGACTCTTCTGTTGGCACTTTACACTGTTTCAGGTCGCGTAAACGCCCAAGCCCAACGCCCAACGCCCAACGCCCGTGCAGTGGAGAGCAGTGAATTGCAGTGGAGTGTGGTGGAGTGCGGTGGCCCGTGGGGGTTCGTGTGGGAGGCACCTGAATGGCGACGGACTCTTCTGGTGTGAGCAGCATGTGAGTGCCGTCCACAGGCGACTGGACTGGAACTCCACACCCTGCTCTGTGATGTCCGCCAGGCGCTGTGCTGGTGCAGAGTGGTGGAGTGCGGTGGAGTGCAGTGGAGTGCATTGGAGTGCAGTGGAGTGCGGTGGAGTGCGGTAGAGTGCGGTGGGGGTTCCTGTTGGATTCACCTGAATAGCAATGGACTCCTCAGGCGTGAGCAGCATGCGCGTGCCGTCCACTGGCGACTGGAACTCCACCCCCTGCTCTGTGATGTCCGCCAGGTGGAGCAACGACACCTGCCACGGTGCACAGCGGTGGAGAGGAGTGCAGGGCGGTGGAGGCCGGTGTGCGGCAAAGCACGCAGTGTGGTGGCGGCGGCAAGCAGCAGCAAGAGGACCCGGTGTGGGCCGGGCATGGCATGGTATGGCATGCAACAGCGCTGCAACAGAGGTACCTGGCTGCCGTTTGAGCAGTGTGTGCATTCCCCATGCCTATATTCCCTTCCCCGTGTCTACATTCTACCCCTCCCACCTTCTGCAAGCGAGGCACGCACAATCTAGGACCCGCCCGTGCCATCTTAAAGCCCACTCTCTCACCATTTGAAACCCCCCCGAGTCAGTGAGCAGTCCGCGCGGCCAGTCCATGAACGCACGTAGCCCGCCCGCGCCATCTTAAAGCCCCAACCCCTCACCATCTTAAAGCCCCATCCTCTCACCACCTTAAAGCCCCACCCCCCTCTCACCATCTGGAACCCCCCCGAGTCAGTGAGCAGGCCATGGGGCCAGTCCATGAACGCATGCAGCCCGCCCGCGCCATCTTAAAGCCCCAACCCCCCACCATCTTAAAGCCCCAACCCCCCACCATCTTAAAGCCCCCTCTCACCATCTGGAACCCCCCCGAGTCAGTGAGCAGTCCACGCGGCCAGTCCATGAACGCATGCAGCCCGCCCGCCTCAGCGATGACGTCAGCACCGGGGCGGTTGGCGAGGTGGTATGTGTTCCCCAGCACCACCTGGCAGCCCAGCTCGCCTAATTGTTGCGCTGTCAGGCCTTTGATTGTGCCTGCTTGGGTCCAGTGAGGGTAGGGGACAGGGGAAGGAGAGAAGAAGGGTGCGGACAGGGAAGGAAGGGAAGCGGTTGGCAAGGTGGTCTGTGTTTCCCAGCACCACGTGGCAGCCCAGCTCTCCCAGCTGCTGCGCTGTTAGGCCCTTGATTGTACCTGCCTCGGTCCCGTGAAGGAAGGAAAAGGAAGGGGAGGATAAGGGTGCGGACAGGGAAGGACGGAAAGGGGTTGGCGAGGTGGTAGGTGTTTTCCTCCCCAGCACCACCTGGCAGCCCAGCTCGCCCAGCTGCTGCGCTGTCAACCCCTTGGTGGTCCCTGTTGTGGTGGCAGTCGGAACGGGGCGAGGACATGGGAGGGAAGGGAAGGTGTGGGTTGAGTGTCATAAGTCACATGGTCAGAGCCAAACTGGTTGGCGAGATGGTGACGGGGCTGCAAAAGCACCACCTGCGACCCAGCTCACGCAGCTGCTGGTCCGTCTAAACCCCCTTTAACCCCTCACAATCTCAACCACTCTCAGCACTCTCAACCATAGTAGGGAACCCACCTTGCGTGCCCACGGGCATGAACATGGGCGTGAGGCAGCTGCAGCCGCATTCTCGCTACATGCTGTCTAAGCCCCTCTCAGCCCATCTAAACCCCCTTCAACCCCTCTCAAAACCTGTCAACCACTCTCAACACCCGTCAAGGACCCACCTTGCGTGCCCACGGGCATGAACATGGGCGTGAGGCAGCTGTGGTGCGGCAGCGTCATTCGCGCCGCTCGCGCGCGCCCGTGGGTCGCCAGTACCTGCCGCCGCCGGCGGGAGAAGGGAGGGGCGGGGCGGGGGAAAGGAGGGCGGAGGGAAGGAGGGCGGGGGGAAGCGAGGCGCGGGGGAAGGGAGGGGCGCACGCGGGAAGGGAGCCCAAAAACGCAACAGTTTCGCGTGTGCGTGACAACAGTGGTTGCGAGAAGAACCAACAGGGGAAGAATGGGGCGGGGGGGAACGGGACAAGAGGCGGAAGGTTTGCACTCAGTTCAGTTGACGAACGCGCACCTCGAATTCTAGCGCCATGCTGCTGCTGCTGGCGCCGCCGCCGCTGCCGCGACTGCCGCTGCTGACGCTGCTGCTGCTGCAGCCGTTGCTTATGCTGGCGTCGCTGTGGGCGACGGCATTCAGCCGATTTGCTGCACCATGCGCTGTGGATTGGCCGTGAAGGCCTCGCCGTAAGGAATGGTACCGGCAATGGCGGCGGTGTGGCGGCGACAGACGAGGTGTCGCGACGGGCGACAGACGAGGTGTCGCGACGGGCGACAAGACGAGACGGAGTGACCAGCGGACACTCGCAAGCTGCGACATTTACGATCACAACACGAATCCTCCTGTGAACCCGTCAAAACAGATTTGTTAACGTGATCTAAATTTAAAAGTTTGACCAACTTTCAGCCGCCCTAGCTCAGTTGGTAGAGCGCAAGGCTCTTAACCTTGTGGTCGTGGGTTCGAGCCCCACGGGCGGCGAATTATACCTCTGTGAACACGTTTTCATTTTCCTGCTTTTTGTCTTGAGTATATGTGATGGTTGTGTGTAACGCGGATGTGAACTCCCAAGCCTCAAGGCTTCTACGTGGAGCATCTTTGTAGGTCAAGAATCTGTCGCACGTTCCATTTACTTTGCCCCCTCCCCAATCGCGCACCAATTGCTGTCGCCATCGCAGGGGCAAGCAGAGCCGCGTGCGAGCCGGGATTCGGGAAATCGCACACGGTGGAACATCGAAGCGCGGCAAACCAATCAGAAATGCGCCCCTTTCACAACGCAACTCGTCACTCCCATCCCACGTTTCTCATTCCTTGCTATTTTCCACCACTTCTCCAGCGCAACATTTTCCACCTAGCTCGAACGAGGAGCTCCACTGCTCCTGCTGCTGAGCAGGGCTGTGCCGTCACTTGATAGTCGCATCCGAAGCGCGCCAGTCGTGATCCGCTGACAAGTCAGCAAGGGTGTGCTGAGTTGCGTCCCGTCCCGTGGCGAGCCGAGTAGCCAAGTCTCTTTCTGCCATGGCCACTCCACAGACAACGCCAGAACCCCGCTGCACCGTGCCCTCCTTCAGTTGTTTGCCGCCATATCCACCCTCGCTTCAGTCCCACGTGATACGATGTTAGCTCCATTCGCTAGTGTGAGGCAGCGCTCCTAAGAACCGCAACGCGAGAATGGACCAGAGCATACAATGTGCGGCGCGGCAGAAACGCGTTTCAGCAATACGATCTTATTAATCGGCTAACACAGCTACTAGGCACGCCACTCCAGCATCGCGTGCAAGTGTAATCAGCAATCCTACTAGCGCCTGGTAAACTTGAGATAAGTAATCACAAAGGTACTGACTATCTCTAGCGGAGGTTTCCACTACCTCCATCTACAGCCTCTGCGCGAGCTGCAGTGTAGAACCGTCCATACACCCGCCGATCTGCGCGAGTCGCGGGGATGAACTCTGCCGCGCTGCTGCTTCTCCCGCTCCTCACCCGCCTCCTTCCGCGCCAGCTCGGCGCGCTTCACGCAGAGGGGAGCTCGAGCGCCCTCGTGCTCTCTCCTGATTGGCGGGCGGACGCAGGAAATGGGGGAAGGGCTGTGGGGGAGCAAGGAGGGGCAACACGGGGGGAAGGCGGGGCTGTAGTCCGGGAAGAAATGAGACAGCTGGGGGAAGTCCGCCAAGGGGGGAAAATGGCAGCGGCGCACCGGTTGCTGGTGGTGAATGGCGGGAGAAATCAAAGTGGCGCTGGGAAGCGCCGGGGGAGGGGGAAGGGGAGGGAAACGGCGGCCACGGCAGCGGAAAGAAAAGGGGCGAGAGGGGCGAGGGGAGTGGCAGGAAGAATAGGAGCTACCCCGTCGGAAGCATCGCCGCCTCGCAACCACGCTGTAGGTCGCGCCAAAGGGAAAGGGCACAAGGCGGAGAAGAGGCATGGGAGGGGCGCAAGGAGCGGAGCGAGGCAGGCTGCTCGAGGGGGAGGCGTGCGCACGGGAAAGATTCTGACCAGTCGGACGCAGCCGCTGCGTCACTCCCAGAGGAGGCCAGCTACGGTGCAACGAAAAGGAGGGCAACGTCAGAAAGGGGCGAAGAAAAGTTTGAAGAGGCGGGTCCCGAAGGGGGTTGTGAGTCAGCAGTACAACGCAATGCAGAAGCCAAGCAGGGAGGGACGGCGCAGGACAGGCGCAGCAGCGGGGGGGGCACAAGGGGGAGGCAAGGCGGCGAAACGCCCTAGCGGTGGCCGCGGAGAGGAGCAGTTGCCGGAAGCACAGCTCGTGCGCGGGCGGACGGGGACAACAGGAGGGGGAGGGAGGCGAGGCGGAAGAGGAAATAGCAAACGCGGCGTGGGATCAGTGGAGCTGCCTACACCGTGTGGTTATGTTCCCACTTGAAGCTGACATGTTGGTGCCGCCTACTAACTGCCTAACAACTGGAACTAGCTAGGGGAGTGCCTTGTAGTCAGGTTTTATGCAGCTCATCTTGCTGTTGGAAACTCCTCAGGTGCAGGGCTCTTGCTGTTGCCATACCAAAACGTGTCAATGGAATGTATTTGGCCTAACATGATCGTACATATGCACTGCAGCGCAGCATTTGCTCAAAGGCTTGCATTGCAAACATAACCACATGCAAGCTGGGCCTAAAGAACTAGACTAGCAGGGGTGAACTAGCAACTGGCCACCACACAAAGGGAGCTCCAGGCGGAATCTAATGAAAACCCCACTGAAGCAAAGCGGGGGGGCATAGTAACACAAGCATCTCACTAGCCTAGCCTGATCACTGCTGCCGGTACCTGCGACCCAATGGTGGGGCAGCTTCGTCTTGCTCTTTACACGCCTAGGAGCGAGCAGCGGAGGGAGCACGGGAGGATGTTGGGGGCGAGGAGAGGGCGGCAACAGCAGACGCGACGGTGGGCAGGGTGGAGGTGAGCAAGGGGAAGGAGGGCAGCGTGGGGTCGGTGAGGGGCGTGACTGAGGGGGAGAGCCATGGCATGACTGCCGAGGCAAAGGTTTCAAAGCGCGATGAGAGAATCGCCTCCCAGTCCACCTGCCGACGTTTGGGGAGAGCAGGGAAGGGGGGGAAGGAGATGGGTGGGGCGGGGTAAGGATTCGTGAGGACAGGCGAGTTTACAAGAAGGATAAAACGGTGGACATGAGCGCGGGCAGGCAGAAGCGGTGACAACACATGCAGAAATGCCACACATGTGTCTCTTGCTCCCTTCCACACATGTGTCTCTTGCTCCCTTCCACACATGTGTCTCTTGCTCCCTTCCACACATGTGTCTCTTGCTCCCTTCCACACATGTGTCTCTTGCTCCCTTCCACACATGTGTCTCTTGCTCCCTTCCACACATGTGTCTCTTGCTCCCTTCCACACATGTGTCTCTTGCTCCCTTCCACACATGTGTCTCTTGCTCCCTTCCACACATGTGTCTCTTGCTCCCTTCCACACATGTGTCTCTTGCTCCCTTCCACACATGTGTCTCTTGCTCCCTTCCACACATGTGTCTCTTGCTCCCTTCCACACATGTGTCTCTTGCTCCCTTCCACACATGTGTCTCTTGCTCCCTTCCACACATGTGCTGGAGTGCATGCCTGCCCCCACACACATGCAACAGGCCTGCACATCGCCATAACCCCAACGCTCCACAGAACCAGATAAGAAAGTCACAGACGTGAAACCGCATCGATTATTAAATGGTGGAATGGTGGCGGAATGGTGGCGGTGACCTGCAGCTAGGTGAGGCGATTATTAAATTGAGTAACGTCTCAGCACACGCACAGCTTACACACCTGCAGTTTGGCCGGGATGGTGGCGGTGACCTGAAGTTGGGCCGCGAGGAAGAGAGCCAGTGTCACCACATACCCCACCATGGCCGTTCCCCGTGCCAACGGCATGAAGTTGTACCTGCAGCAGGAGTGGTGCAGAGCGGTGCAATGATGGAATGGTGGCTTACAGCTACAGAGGCAGCCCGCTGCAGCCTGCAGCTTCAATGAACAAATCAAATACGACACAGGCCAGCCACTGATAGATGGTGTAAATATATGCGGCCTATAATGACGAGACAACGGCATCAAGACAAGCAAAGCGTTGAAGGGGTGCTTGGAGTTCAGGATTTCATGGTAAGGTATGGAGTTTAGGATGCGTGGTTACCAGTAGTAGGCGAGGCGCAGCACGGCTCGCTGGAATCGTGCCATAGAAGGACCAAGAGGCGGCCTCCATGCCCCCCCCTGCATCTTCTCCCCCACCACTGCGCACAAGTCCTGGGTTGGCCAGGGTGGGAAAGGGGGAGGAGAGGACAGAGAGAGCACAGGAGGGAGGAGGGCAGGGCTAGAACTGGAGAAGCTTTCTTCTCACTGCTCCCCTTTCAGCAGCCGTGCTGCCAGCATGACTCTGACATGAAACAACTGCAGAGTGTGACAATACCTTCAGCGGGGTACGATCAGGAGGGGAATCACAGAGGCCGCACACTGGCACATGCATCCGTGCGTCACGCTGCTAGCTGTCAGAAGCACACTTCCTGCCACGTCCGCAGCATTCACACCATTGGCCCTCCCTCACCAACAACCCACCCCACCCCACCCCACCCCACTCTACCCCATCCCACCCCATCCCACCCCACCCCACCCCACTCCACCCCATCCCACCCCATCCCACCCCACCCCACCCAACCCCATTCTACCCCACGCACCTCCCATGCAGCTGCCATCTCTGCGTCGTAGTCCGCCCAGCGTGAGGGCGTGCCGGGCGTGCGGATGGCAAAGTCAAACCCCGTGGGGCTGCGGGCGCATGCAGAGAGAGGGCGCGTGAGAGAAACAGCACGGGAACGGGGAGGTGCGTGAGGGGAAAAACGGAAGGCAGAGTTATTAAGGAAGGACATGAAAGGAAAGCAGGTTGAGGAGGACAGTGTGAGTATGCTAGGGTGATGAATGGGAAACGAGAAGAGGACAATGGAACCGAGATAGCAGAAGGGACTGAGAGAGCTAAGGGGGTTGAGAGAGCTAAGGGGGTTGAGAGAGCTAAGGGGGTTGAAAGAGCTAAGGGGGTTGAGAGAGCTAAGGGGGTTGAGAGAGCTAAGGGGGTTGAGAGAGCTAAGGGGGTTGAGAGAGCTAAGGGGGTTGAGAGAGCTAAGGGGGTTGAGAGAGCTAAGGGGGTTGAAAGAGCTAAGGGGGTTGAGAGAGCTAAGGGGGTTGAGAGAGCTAAGGGGGATGAGAGAGCTAAGGGGGTTGAGAGAGCTAAGGGGGTTGAAAGAGCTAAGGGGGTTGAGAGAGCTAAGGGGGTTGAGAGAGCTAAGGGGGTTGAGAGAGCTAAGGGGGTTGAGAGAGCTAAGGGGGTTGAGAGAGCTAAGGGGGTTGAGAGAGCTAAGGGGGTTGAGAGAGCTAAGGGGGTTGAAAGAGCTAAGGGGGTTGAAAGAGCTAAGGGCGAGAGCAAAGTGGACTGAGAGGAGAATGAGGACAGAGAGCAATCGGCTGGGCTGCTTACGTCTTCACAAGGGTGAGTCGTGTGCCCTCGAGAACCTTCCTGGAAGGGTGGAAAATGACACAAGTGACACATGCAGGCAGAAAGAGGAACGGACAAAGGTGGTCAGAGCAGTGGAAGCAGGAAGTGGATTGAGAAAACAGTGGGTTCTCAGTAAGGCGAGACAGACTCACTACAACCACTCAAAAGCAGTAACTCAAGCTCATCCATGCTCAGCCACTCACCCCGGGTCCACCATGCTGTAGCAGGGCGTGACGATCCAGAAATCCTCCCCCACCACCCGATACAGATCCTCACACGCCTTGGCCGAGGCCACCTGTGAGCCAAGGGGCGGGTGCCGGAGAGAGGTTCGGAGAGAGGGTGGGTGAGTGGGGAACTGGGATAGGAGAGTGACGAGAGGGAGAAAGGAAAGGTTTATCCTGAGGCTACAACAAGGATTAGCATGGGTGGGTGAGAGAGCCAATGGATAAGAACGGATTCAGACGGGGCGGCATGGAAAGAATGGGTTTGGAGTGGAGGAGTATAATTTGAGCGCAGAGGGGCTAAGAGAGTGGGTGAACTGACAGCTGCTTTCTGGGCGGGTGCATCAACGGCCACTCGGTTGTTAGCAGCGTTGTGCACCGCACCCGACCGCAGCATCTCCTCCTTCATTATTGCAAACGCCCTGCGAGCACCCCGCACACAGGCACACACAGGCAGGCACACAGTCCTTAGGCGCCTCCAAAACTACTTCACTATGGCATTGCCATGCGCGCAGAGGAGACGAAGGCAGAAAATGAAGGAGGAGTCGAGAGACCAAATGATGTAGACACGAATGGCAGGGGGGATGCACACACAAATAACAGCACTGAGAGGTGAGGTGGGGGACGGTAGGGTAGCAAGGAGGGTATGAGTTGAGAGGGAGCACACCTGTCGAAGTTAGCATGGTAGCGCACCACCTTAGTCTGCCCGATAAGTATGGGTGTGTGAGACCCAAAGCCCGCTCGAAACTCTTTCTCCCTGCGACACAAGGGTAGCGACGGGAGGTTGTATGTGACGGGAGAGGTCACTGATACAATCACAACACACTCTGCTACGCATCCCATAGAGTCACACCCAGCACACACGACCATGATATGGTACTGCCGCAATGTCCTTGAGAAACTCACGGCCTGGACTTGTCCTTAACTCCAGCAAACGAGGCATCATCCATGCGACATGTCTTGCATGCACTAACTAATCACGTGAGCATGTCCACCCATACAGCCCGGTCACTCACACAGCTCTGACACTGCTTTCTGAGTCGACCAAAAAACCATGCATGCAGCATGCCTCACATCATCACACTACTCACGTGAGCATGTCCACCCATACAGCCGGGTCACACGGCTCTGACAGCTGCCTCCACCGCACAGCAATGGAGTATGCATCCCTCCACCCCTTTATCTGCACTCCCTCTGTTGTCACACCCCCCTTCCCTTGCCCTGCGCCTGAGCCTGCCCCAACCCCTGCTGCGCTTGCAGAGACACCTTTCCCTCCGCTTCCACCTCCTCCTTTCCCCCGCCCTCCTCCCTTTCCGCCCTTGCTCTTCCCTCCTTTTCCCCCACCACTTTTCCCTCCCTTCCTCCTCTCCTCCTGACTTCTGCTTCCGCTTGCCACTGCCTCGCTTCCACTGCTGCTACCCCCATCATCCATCAGAGAATCGTCCAAATGAAGTGATGACACGTCATCAGAGGAAGGCACAGGAGACAATGACACGTCAGCAGATGATGACTTGGAGAAGGACGACATGTCAGTGCCTCCATCCTCCAGCTCAGCAAGAACGGCTGCTGCTGCAGCGGAAGCAGGAGATGCGCTACCAGCAGCTGTAGCAGCAGCGGCAGCAGCTGTAGCAGCAGCAGCCTCCTCCTCGCGCTGTTCCCAAGCGGCTGCTACAGCCTGGGCGATTTCTATGGCAGCAAGGCCCGCCATGCGATGCTGGCAGGAAACAACATGCATCAAGGGTGGACGGGGCATCGCAAAGGTCCAAGAGGCAGGCATAAAGGAACGGGAGGAGAGGAGAGTGGGCGGGATGGCGGGGAGCAGATGTGCGTGTCTATGTAAAGGTTTTTCCAACAGACAGGCATCGCAGGATATACAGGATAACACTGTGTGATATCTTTGTGTGGAGGCAGATTTATTTCACCGAATAGTTCAAGAGGCACTTCTAAATCCCACCCGGCGGACGTTGGCGTGGAAGCCAGGGCATGAGTACTGCGTGAGCCGGCCTCTCCGATCAACTCCAGCAGCCTATGCACCTCGGGATTCCCACTGTGTGAGAGTCACAGGTACATGCACTAGAGTCTCACCTGGCGGACGTTGGCATGGAAGCCAGGGCACGAGTACTGCGTGAGCCGGCCTATCCGATCAGCTAGTTCCAGCAGCCTCTGCACCTCGGGATTCCCACCGCTCTTGCCGCCCCCACCGCCACCACCGCCGCCACTGCCGCTGCTGCCACCGCCGCTGCTGCTGCCCCCTGCAGCAGAGGAGGCTTTCTTGCCCAGACGCACGGCGATGGAGGGTGGGACTGGCTGGGTGGTGTAGCCTGGGAAGAGCAGCGTGGGGGGAAGCTTCTTGCACCACGCTTCCTGTGGATTAGAAGAGGCAGTTGAAGGGAGGGTTGTACGGACAGGATAACACAGACCATGTTCGTCCATATATTGTGCAACAGATGCAAAACACAAAAACTGGTATGTAGAATAAGATTGCAGCACAGATGGACACGCAATGAGCAAGCGTGGCCTGACCTTGAAGAAGGGGTCAAGGTCCCTGTCGAGGCTGAAGTGGGCGAGCGGCTGCGAGTGCTTGGAGAGCGTGTAAAGGGCAATCTTTGCCAAGTCCCAAAACACAGATAGGGAGGAGTACAATAGGTGGTTGTGCTCTCACCTTGAAGAAGGGTTCAAGGTCCCTGTCGAGGCTGAAGTGGGAGAGCGGCTGAAAGAGCTTGGAGAGCGTGTAAAGTGCAATGCCAACTCTCATAACACATATACAAAGGAGTCCTATGGGTGAGTGTGCTCTGACCTTGAAGAAGGGGTCGAGGTCTCTGTCAAGGCTGAAGTGGGCGAGCGGGTGGGAGTGCTTGGAGAGAGTGTAGAGAGCAATCTCGCGCTGGTAGAAGCCGAGGAACTGCAGCAGCTTCGACTCCGAGTCTGTCTCCACGCCCAGCATCTCATCATACGTGCGCACCTGGTGGGGGAGGGGATCAGGGAAGGGGAAAGGGACAGGGGCAGGGGGAAGGTGACTCGTGAGTCGTCTCAAAAGCCATCGTGCGGCAGCAAGCCCGTATCACAAGACAAGGCGTATGTATGCTCCAGCATGCGATGCATTTCCTCGTCACTTTGAGTGTTCCCCCACACCACATGACACGATCACCACCCTTTGTATCTCCCCCCACACGACACACTCACGGCAGTGGCCAACTCATTCCCCTCACGAGTGACCCACTCACGGCAGTGGCGTATTCCCCCACGGCATGCTCGGAGGAGGCATACGAGTACATGAGCTCGATGTTGCTCCTCTCCAACCTCAGCCCCTTTTGCGCCATCTGGGACGCGCCTCTGGTGTGGTGCCACAGAGCGCGGGGGGGGGCGCGGGGAAACAGCAGCACGAGACGCACGGAAGGGAAATGGATGATTTTTTAGGCGCCTCAAAGCTCGATGTTGCTCCTCTCCAGCCTCAGCCCTTTATGCGCCATCTGTGACGCGCCCCTGGTGCCACGGATGGAGGGGAGGGGGTGCAGCAGTGGGGGGAGGGAAGGGGTTGGGGAAGCAGTAGCACAAGACGCACGAAAGGGAGGTGGATGTATGTGTCAGGTAGGGTGAAGAGGTGGGATGCGAGAAGTGAGTGGCGAGAGAGTGAGCGAAGGAAGAGGTGGGTAAGATTTGTTGCTCTGCATAACTGTAGCACTTATTCATACATGCATAGGGGTGGGGGGAAGGGGGGCGCGGAGGGGAAAGGGGGGAGGGAGGGAAAGGGGGGAAGGTGGGGAAGTGGGAAAACGAGGGGAGGGAAGCGGGGAAAGGGGATGCGAAGGCATGTGGTTGCTGACTCACCTGTGGTCGCCCACGCCATGCTTGAGCAGCGCCCAGTAGCGGTACACCGTCGCAAAGCTGCAGTGCCGAGAGGGGCAACGTGACCTTTGAAAATTCTTGTAAGTCACAGCAATATGTGTGGCGCTCACCTGTGGTCGCCCACGCCGTGCTTGAGCAGCGCCCAGTAGCGGTACACCGTGGCAAAGCTGCAGTGCCGCGAGGGGCGAGGGGAAGAATGGAGGGGGGGTTGGACAGGAGACGCTGTAAGACGAGGGGAGCACGTGGGATATAACCAAGGCGGGGTAATGGAGAGGCGGGGGCAGATACTGGCAATATCCACATTTGCACGATCCCTTCGCTTGGAAAGCAAAACACTCACCTTGAGTCCGCGTCCAATGCCTTCTGGTAGCACTTGGCTGCGTTTTCTGCATCGCCGTACTCCTTATAAGCCTGCCCCATGTTAACCCACGCATCCTTGAAATCTGCGCGCAGGGCCACAGCCTTCTTGTACGCCGCAACGCCCTCCATGCACGCCCCTGTGCCCGTCAGCGCCAAGCCCTGCAGGAGAGATGACAAAGAAGGGGAGGGGTGGCATGGAGGCACGCGAGGAATAGGAGAGGAATGAGGAGGTGGAACGCGTTACACAAGCGGGTAACCGAGGTGGGAAAGCAGGACTGACGGACATTCAGCGTCGAAGTGGAGGGCGAAGAAGAATGTGGGAGGAAAGCAGCTCGGATGATATGCAGCCTGCCATGATGAGATTAACAGCCCTCCGATCCCATCACAGGGCGTCGTCAGCGCGTGGCAGCCATGGTGGCCGTACAACCAGTCAGTGGTGGTTACTGGGAGAAGAGACGCAGTACCAGGAAGTTATACGCGTTGGCATCTTTCGGATTGGAATCCAGAGAGGTCTTTAGATCCGAAATGGCTGCACGGTAGTTGCGCTGCTTCACATACACCACTCCTGCACGCACACACACAGACAGCACAGCAGCACGCAGACATTGCAGCAGCACACACAGATACCACAGCAGCAACACAGCAGTGTGGGCATTGAAAAGGTGCACTTTCAGTGCTTCAGTGTACCTCCTCAATACACTTGAGACGATAACATGCTCTCATACAAAAATGAAAATTGCCAAGAGGCAAGCAGCCAGGACTCAAGGCAGCTCCACGTGCAATGGAGGCAAGCTGCACCTGAAAGAGCCTCATCTCATTCACACACCAAGGACCACCCCATCCTTTCCGCACAGCAAGAGCACAGCAAGACACTCACCCCTCTCAGCTAGCACATCCGTGGACGAGGGGTCGATGGTGAACGCTCGAGTGAAATCCTCAATCACCTGAACGTGCAGCAAGGACCACATACATATATCAAGTTGACTTTTGAGTCGACTCAAAAGTCACCTAGCAAGAAGCACACACATATATCAGTACGTCACACAGAGAACGGCGAGGGGGAAGCGGGGAGGGAGTAGGCGAACAAAGAGGGGCATTAGCTCGTTATAAATCACTCAGTTCAACTGCCCTATTCACTTCTCACCTCGTCCATCTGCCCCAGAGCAGCCCTCGCCTGCGCTCGCCGCTTCCACGCCTCTGCTGCCCGCGGCTCAATCTCAATCGCCTGAGATAAAACAAGAGGACAGCAAAGACATGCATTAGCTGGAGGAATGAATGCAAACGCACTGTTTTCTGACGAATTATACAGCAAGCATGTAAAACTTACAGCAGTGAAATCAGCCACGGCCTCTTTGAGCTTGCGCTGCAGAGCCCGTGCTGTGCCCCGCCCCACCAGCGCACCCAGCGCCCGTCCGTCTGTCTCCAGAACCTGCACGCAATACAGAAGGAAGGTGGGTTCAGTTCAGGAGAAGCAGCAGCCACTGTCCAGAGGAAACATTGATCGAACCAATAAGAGACAGACAAAGGAACGTGGTTGGTTGTGTTGTGATAGGCTGATAGCGATGTACCTGATTGAAGGTCTTGACAGCATCGTCAAGCTTGCCTGAATTGACCTGCCAAGGGAAACAGGAACGACCTGTAAGGTGAACTGATAATGACGAGGCACTTACAACGCACACAATATGCTCTACTATGCAGCGCTCCTGCGTTCAGCTTAGAAGAGGCTGGATGTGGAAAGGTCAACGAAAAAACGCAATGTAATTTCTTTTTTTCTTACTTGGTTGATCCCAAGGGAAATCAACAAATCCAATGCCAGGCTGCCGCGTGCTCCTCCCAACCCCTTCCCTCCGCCACTGCTCCCTTTCCCTCTGTCCTCGCCTCCGCCACTCCCTTCCCTTCTCTCTCCTTCTCGACCCCCCTTCTTCTTCCCCTCTTTCTTCTGCTCCTTAGGTGAAGCATCTCCCCGCGCCTCCACAGTTGCAACCTCCCCATTGGCCCCCTTCTCTTTTGCACTACGTGATGATGCATCCCCAGAGCCCGTCTCTACAATCACACACCCATTCTGGGCAGCAGAAGTGGCAGCAGGAGCGCGATGTGAGGACGAGGGAGACGGTGTGCGAGGGGGATACGCAGAGGAAGGAGACGCAGGAGACGCGTTTGCAGAGGGAGTCTGCTGAGAGGGAGAAGCGAGCTTGGGCGTTGGGGATAGCGGGGAGGAGGGGTCGAGGGAGAGCGTGTGCAGGCGCAGCGCGAACTCAAGGTCAACGCAGGAGGACGCGGGGAGGGGAGTGGTGGCGGCAGCGCTACTGCCGGTGGTGGTTGCGGCTTGGTAGCCTTGGGTGAAGGCGGCCTTGGCTTCGTCGTTCTTGCCCAACGCCAGCCACGCCGCACCTGCATCGCCAACACGGGAGAAACGAGGAAAGAATAAGATATGCCAGTCAAAACAAAGAGAGACTCGGTCAATTCAGCGAGTACACACGATCCGTTTTCACAACAGCGTTCAATGAGTGATCAATGAGGCAGGCGACAGTCACGGGGCAGCACGCCGGCCATTTTTCTCGGAAAGGCAGGGAACAGGGGACCTCGAAACAGAGGAGCGGCGAGCGGGGTGGAAGTGCGGGTCACCTTGGCGCATGAAGGCGAGAGGCTGGTTTGGAGCGAGCTGCGTGGCCCTCATAGCGTCCTTGAGCGCGTGCTTGTTGAGATCCAAGTGCAGATAGCACCACGCGCGATTGCTGCACAAATCAGATTGAAAACGTAGGGGGGGTGGGTCATATGAAAAGATTCGTTCATGATCGTTGGAGTGAAGTGGTAATTTGAGATAACCCCTTGAAAATGCAGAAATCTCTGACAGACTGTAATTCAACCACATTCTCGCTAAACAGAACCAAATTGATGGTAATTGAGATGAATAGAGGTTTGAAACGCACCAGAGGAACATCGCGACTTCGGCTGGACTCCTGCTGGCCTCTTCCGCCTCCGTTATTTGCGCAGTCAGCAGCTTAACGGCGCGCGACCACTGCTGCTGAGCGCAAGCCTCGACCACCTCCTGCGCCATACCGGCGACGAGACGTGTGGCAGGAATTGACTAAGCTATGAAACAGAGAAACGGAAGCTTAACGAAATCAGTCTGTGCTCTACCCTTGTCGATCACCAGTCTCCAGAGCCCTCACAACCGCACAAAGTGAAGCCTAAAAGTCGTATCGTGGCTAGTAGGTCCGAGATACCAGAATTGAATTCTTTCCTAAGTCTAGTCCAAACCCGATCTACAACTACTGATACATCAAGCTCACTCAACGGCGGAAAGTCGCTTTCACTCGACCAGCTTCACAGATCTATGGTGCGAAGCCTGCTAACATGCAGGCCTGACAATCGACGTCCGTGAATCCCATTCGTTGCGACCGAGCCTACAAAGATGGAAGTCTGGAGAGCCGTTGCCTGATCTCAAAGGTGTCCATCTGCTGATCTGCCTGACGTCCGTCAAAACCTTGAGAAATTTGGCGAACGTACAAAGTTCGCACCCTCGACCTTGCAATCCGCGACATTCACGACGTCGATTTGCGACAAGTGAATGGACCCCTGCTGGGAAATCCGTTGGCTTCCGTCAAGTGCGTCGTTCCACGTCGGATGCTGAACACCATGAAAATTGGGCCTAGTGCAACTCCTCCTACACCATGGAAATCACTTCAGTGTACGTTCTTTCTCCCACCAGGCTAGCCTAATAACGCGTACTGGAAACTAGTGTTGCAAATCCTTCAAATGTAGTAGAGCCATTGTTGCTACTGTTCACAGAAAGACTCTCAGTGAGGACGCGTCACCTCAACGCCGATCGCAGGATCGATCCTACGTAGGATCGAATTTTCACGTGGTTTAATTTGCATCTAGAAGTTTTCACTACGATGCGCGTAGTTTCAATGCGGTTGAAGATCGATATTGACGATCGATCGCAGGATCGGCGTTCAGGTGACGCGTCCTAAGCCATTGCACCTACGTTGAGGCTTCTGATGATGATTGGTCTACGTTATGACTCCATAGTTAAATAATCACCACGTCTTGACGGCCGATTCGAAGTTCGCGTCCATCACATTTCCTTGCAACATGTCAACATAGAATGGCTCCTGCCATTCGTGCGACGTTTGTGTGCCTCTCGCTGAATTTGACGCTATGCACGGTCTTCAATGGTCGATACTACACAGCTCCACCGTTCTCAAACCATGCCGTTACAGTTAATTTAGCCGGCGCGAACAAGGGTGGAGGTAGTACGAGAGGTGCGGAGACGGCAGACCAGACAGCGGGGTTCGTCCTTCCAAGCTCGGCGCGCAGGTGCAATGCAGAGGAACAGACCGATGCCGCTGCAGGGCTCCTCTCGTCTCTTGAAATGCTGAGCTGGTGAGACTGCCAACCAGCACTTCAGAGTGTCAGAACATTACTGGATATCGACGCACTGACACTTTCGTCATTTGCACTGCGATCGACACATTGATGTGTACGGGAATCTCGTCGCACATCATAATCTTCAGTGCCGTGCATCATGGTCATGCATCATGGTCATGCATCATGGTCATGCATCATGGTCATGCATCATGGTCATGCATCATGGTCATGCATCATGGTCATGCATCATGGTCATGCATCATGGTCATGCATCATGGTCATGCATCATGGTCATGCATCATGGTCATGCCTCATCGTCATGCCTCATCGTCATGCATCAACGTCATGCATCCACCCAGGAGCCCCTGTCTTTGCGAATGGGAGGCGCGTCTGATAGCGTCAGTGCCACATCATCACCCTCTGCCCAGTCGGCCCGCCTGCATTACTCCATTCATCAGAAAAGGTGATGAAAACAACATATTGAACGAAGGTGCAGCTGCTGCAGAGCCAATGCACTTATTTCTCAACTTTCGGCTTGAGCTCAGAAGCCAACGTACTTATTTCGCGTCTGATTTTTACAATTTTTTTGCTCCCGTGTTATCGCTTGCTCACCCATGCGCCATCATCCTGGAAACCCCCCGGCACTATACCTCCCTCCCTCCCCCGCTGTTCATTCCACCGCCCTATCCATCGCAGCAACCAAACTGTATCGCCTGCAGCAGCCACCGGTACCAGCGATCGCCGACTCTCCCACTAGTATGTTGGTCGGCCGAGAAGGAAGAGAGGGAGGTGACAGCCAGGCAGCACGGGGCCTGCGGTGTGAGGAAAGCTCCGTGGGGCGGTTGAGACAGCTGGAGAGCACTGAGCTCTGTGGCTTGCTGCTGCTGGGCGATGGTCCTGGACCTTCTAATGCTGCGATGAGGGAGCAAAGAAGGGTGCATGAGAATAAGCATGGAAGGGGAGGTCTGGAGGGGAGCAGCACAAGGGCGACTGTAGAAGACGTGAGCAACGGTGAAGCGGAACGGAAGCAGACGAAGGAGGAGGAAGCGCAGGTGACAAGCAAGCAGCTTGAGATGTTGCAGCAGGCGAACGATGAGGTGAGTGCGGTGGTGGTGGAGTGGATGGGCATGGGGGAAGTGGATGGGAAAACGGATGGGCAAAAGGATGGGCAAAAAGAATGGGTAAAAAGGGTGGGCAAAAAGGCTGTTTATTGCTTCGTCCTAGTATTGTTTGTATGAGTATCCACCACACCACATCGTATGAGCATCAGTTAAGTAGCCAGCGTGTGAGCTCAAGTCCCATTTGGATTCAACTCTTGATTGTTCAGGCTCATGTACCTGTTCCGTTTCACCTCTTGATTTGCTGCTGCCTGCTCCCGTCCCATGCAGATAGAACGAGGGGGATATATGGAGGCAATTGCTATCTACAACAAGGTCAGGAATGCAACCCTATACCCTGCAGATTTGTCTTGTCGCCTCAATGAACGCTTCTGCTTCTGATTTACCACGGTTCGTCCGTATTCCACCTTTCTGTTCAATCACGAAACCGCAATTTTCCCTTCACGTACCTGCCTCTGCTTCCCATGCATGGCTCATTCCAGTCCGTTTGTCCGTTAATCCTCCAATCATTGCCCGACAGCTGGCCTCCATTCCCTCTGTGAAGGATCAGGTGCTTCTTGGCCGAAGCTCCTGTTACGATGCATTGGGGCAGTTTGACAAGGCCGTCGCTGACCTGTCCGCTGTAAGGAATACATGTCTTCTGTCCCCTCCTCTTCATCCCTTCTTATGTCCCATTGACCAGTTATTCTGTTGCCAGCAGCCACATGATTAAGTTAACCCATCAAACTCGTGTGCGATGCGATGCTCCGCTGGCAGGCTCTGTCAGCAAACCCCACAAGCGCAGCTGGCTTCATGGCGCGAGCAGGCATTTATTTCAAAATGAACAAGCCTGTCGGGGTAGACATCACATCATGATGTATGTATGGTGACACCGTGAGGTAGGCATCATGATGTATGTATGGTGACACCATGGTGCCATGGCATCGGGTAGACCAGCCCAGATGTGCAACCATGTGGTTTGCCGCCTTTTGAGGCGCCTCAAAAGTCCAGATGTGCAACCATGTGGTTTGCCGCCTTTTGAGGCGCCTCAAAAGTCCAGATGTGCAACCATGTGGTTTGCCGCCTTTTGAGGCGCCTCAAAAGTCCAGATGTGCAACCATGTGGTTTGCCACCTTTTGAGGCGCCTCAAAAGTCCAGATGTGCAACCATGTGGTTTGCCGCCTTTTGAGGCGCCTCAAAAGTCCAGATGTGCAACCATGTGGTTTGCCGCCTTTTGAGGCGCCTCAAAAGTCCAGATGTGCAACCATGTGGTTTGCCGCCTTTTGAGGCGCCTCAAAAGTCCAGATGTGCAACCATGTGGTTTGCCGCCTTTTGAGGCGCCTCAAAAGTCCAGATGTGCAACCATGTGGTTTGCCGCCTTTTGAGGCGCCTCAAAAGTCCAGATGTGCAACCATGTGGTTTGCCGCCTTCATCCGTGCATGACACGCAAACACAAGCTGCGATGGTCCATACTTCCATTATACATGTTGACATTGTGCTCCTGCCCTATCACACCACACCAGATTCTGTCATGATGCATCCGCCTTTGAATTATGCTGCCTGCCAGCGGGCTGCCTGGAAGCAATCCCTTATTGCATCTAGTGCCTCTTCCTTCTGTGTTTGATCCACACCCACATGCCATGTCGTGAAGGCCATAGCGGACTACTCTCGCGTCATTGACCTGGACCCCTCCAATGCTGAAGCACTCAGGTGGCGAGGTGAGCATACATATGTGCTGGGCGAGTCAGTGTTGCTGGTTTAGTTGTGTTCACTGCCGCGTTCCTCTCAGCTGCACATGCTTCCATTCCAACTGCAACCATCTCACATCCCTTGTGAGTGATTGTTGAGAATTCTCAAACATCACACACTTCAAGACCCTCGCTCTCTCTCCATCTTCATCCCTCCTTTCCCTCGTGTCTCCTCCCAATCCCCCTGCCAGGCATCTTGTCCTTTAACCTGAAGGACTACCATGCAGCAGAGAAGGACTTTCAGGAAGCCATTCACCTTGACCCCTCTCAGTCTTTCGTCTTTCGAGGCCTTGTAAGTCTCCCTCATGCTACTTATTCAGTCTTCTGACTCCTTCCGATTCTCGTTCCTTATCACTGTGTGGTTATTTTTCCACCTCATACCTCGTTCTCCCTTGTGATAACCCGTCCCTTGCTATTCCACTTTTCTTATATGACTGCTGGTTTTCTCGTTGCCCCTGTCCAAAGACAGGCTTTCATTTCATAAGCATTATGGCTTCCTCCTTCCTTCCATACATACAGCATGCATTGCTTGTTCCTCAACTGTTCCTCCCAGCACCTTTTTCCTCTCTCTTCCTCCTCCCTTTTGATCAATCCCTCTCCTCTCCCAACCCCCTCACTCCCTTCCCCCCTCCCACTTCCTCACCCTAGGCCCTAGCCATAGGGGGCAGTGGGAGGTGGCGGGAGTCCCTGGCAGTGTTTGCAGAGGGTGTGAGGCGGCACCCTCAGGATGCGGACCTGTGGCATTCCAAGGGGCGCGCGCACAAGGAGGTGGGCGAGGTGGATCAAGCCATAGAGGCGCTGCAGCGAGCGCTGCAGATCAGAAAGTGAGTGCCGTGGATGTGTTTGCAGCCATGGTGAGTTCTTTTTGGTGCCCGTGGCATGGCAACAGTGCGGGTCCAGACATAGCTTGGAATCATTCCCTGCATGCATCCTTCTCAACTCTCAATTTCTTAAAATTTCAATCTCTCAATTTCTAAAATTCCCTGCTTCCATTTCAAAACTCCCTGCATCGCATCTGTGCTGGCATTTCATATGTCCTTCTATAATGTCACTGCATCCATCCATCCGTCCCTATTCTCCCTCCCTATTCTCCCAAGCATCCTTTCATTCCCGTGTCAACACCCATACTGGGGGCCATGCACGCGTGTGCAAGGAGTCACAGTTAACCACTCCCTCTACTCACATCCATGCATTGCTGCGTGCACGGCACAGGGCAGTGGCGACCTATCAGGAGCTCGTCGCTGTCAGCCGATTGGTGGGCGACTACAGGTGCGCTCATCTCGCATTTGCACCGTGCAGGATTGGTTTTCTGCCAGTTTAGTTCTCTTATCAACGTTTGGATAAATACCTCTTAAAAATCATCATCCCGATGTTTGATTGTGGGCTCGATGTTGAGCCCTGCTCTATTAGATGACCACATTTCTGCTCTGCCTTGTCCTTTCTTCTTTCTCTAGCCCGGCCTCTTCACCCCTCTCTCCCTCCTTGCAGGGCCGCCATACGCTATGCAAGAGAGGGGTTGCAGCTGGACAGGGGAGACATGGAGCTCGCTCATGCCCACGCCAGCAGCCTGCATGCTCTGGGGGACCTTGCTGAAGCTGTGAGAGTTCCACACCTCCTCCTCAAGCTGTGTGCTGCCCAATAGTGAGTCGCTACACGCTGTGTGCCGTTCACATTCACAGGCTTGCATAGTGCCTTTTTTAAATCACGATCTCGCACGCACCACACACACACACACACTTGCATCACGACGACCCACCACCCTCATCTGGATACCCCTGTGCTGCCCTGCCCACAGATGCGCAAGTACCAGGCAGCGTTGGCACTGCAACCCAGGGATCAGGACGGACAGGTTCTGCAACACTCCATGTTCTACCAGGCATGTTCTACCAGGCATGCTCTACCAGGCATGTTAAACGTTTCAGTGCTTTTTTTGTGTTTTTTGCTCCCCGACCAGCCCCTCGCCACTCCCACTCATCTCCCTTCCTCATATGCTCCCTGCCTCCCATGACTGCCATTCCAACTGCCCTCCCCCTCCCAGAGGGAGGTACTGTCCTACACCGTTGCTCGCTTGCAGCAGCCGCTCTCCTCTATCCAATTCGACTGGGACTTCACTTCTGAGTTCAGAGTACGGCCACGCCTTACTACATCCCTCAACCCTTTATCGCCCTCAACCCTTTATCGCCCTCAACCCTTTATCGCCCTCAACCCTTCATCGCCCTCAACCCTTTATCGCCCTCAACCCTTTATTGCCCTCAACCCTTCATCGCTCTGAACACAGCCATCTTCATCACCCGTGCTGTGGCGTCTGTTTCCCATTGGCACGCCTATTCTCATTGCCCTTTGCTCAGACGTAGAATCATCTCACATTGCTCAACCAAGAGGCATCACCACCACATCCCATCACAATACCTTTTTATCACATCCCAACCTTGCTACTCCCCTTCAGTCCCCCCTTGCTACATTCCCGACTCATATCCCCCTCCCCCACCGTGGCACAGGAGGCATGGACCAATAGTGACCCTATAGCAACACTGCCAGGATACCAGCCGCTCTCGGTCAGTTCACGCCAGTTACAGCGCGCCAAACTACTATCCCTGCCCAAGCTGTCACGAGGAGGGTTGGATCTGATAGAAGCAGCGGACAGGATCGGCCAGCGTGCCCACTACCACTGTGATGCCTTCATGGCAAACAGGCAGCAGGTAACAGCAGAGACATGCCAGCATGCTTTGTTTGTTGTTTTCTGTCTTCACCCCTCATATCCTCACTTCCCTAATACTGCCTGCATGAACTTTGTTCCTGTGCTCACTCCATTCCCCTCGCCCTCCCTCCACCCCTCAGCTGCGCATGGCAGGGCTGGCAGCTCTTGACGTGATGCAGCAGGTGAGACTCTTCCGCTTCCTTTCCACCCACGTCCTTCTCTCATCTGCCCCCATTCACTTTGATGGTGTTCAGGCCACTCGTAAATCCCCAGGGCTGGCAGCTCTTGACGAGATGCAGCTGGTTATTCAATGCTGCTTTTGCAAATGCTTGTCACTAAAGACAGTGTTGCAAGTGTGGAGATCTTTCATGCTCTTTCAATTGCTCCATGTGTGCATGTGCCGTGGCACAGGCAAGGGCAAGTTGGGATGCTATGGCACAGGAGCTGCAGGGGAGGGAGTCAGCAGCTGGTAACACGGTTACAGACACGACAACAACCAAGGAAAAAGATGCACTAGCAGGAGGAGGCGGAAGGGTAGAGAGCACGGCGAAGCAGAGGCAGAAGGCAAGTGAAAACTCAGGCAAGGGCAGTGGGAAGAGCCGCAGCAGAAGCAAGGTGTCAGGCGGTGGGGTGCTCAAAGGCTGGAGGGATGTTTACGAGATGATCACCAGATGGAGACAGATCGCCGATCCAACGGCTGCTATTCTCTGGAACGACCAACTGAAGTACGTGCCACTGGGATGGCTCTTCCCGTTCTTAATGATTTGATTCTCAATGGTTTCCTGATGGCATGCGATCATGTCTCATGGGGGGGAAAGGGTGCTCCGTCTGCTTTCCTCTGCAGAAAAAGCTTTGCGCGGGGCGTTCGGTCGTCCACGCCCATCAAGGTGTGGGATCTGCAGACCGTCAAGTACTACCCCGTCTTCAACAAGTGGGTCCCTCACTATCCACTCACCTTCTTTCTCGCCCTTTCAGCCTGCCAAACCCACACACTCCCCCCACCACTCATACCTCCTAGCACACATTTGAGGCGCCTCAAAACTAGCACACACACCTCTCTTGCACTGACTCCGCTTCTCTGCGGCAGTGTTGTTTTGTCGTCTGAAGCCAATTTCTGTTGAATGCGTGGCAGGTCGTTTGAGGCCATGAGTGAAGCTCTGCTGGAGTCAGAGCGGGCCTTTTCAAACGACCAGCCCTTCGCTGTGCCGCGCAACACACGCCACATGGTGAGTGAGCTGTGCCTGTTCCTTGCAACACATATGGCCACATGGGGTGAGTGGACTGCATCGGCCATGGCAGCGACAGCAGAGCAGAGACATGCACCGCCCTGACTCCGTTTCTGTCCCCATGCACGTCACATATCAACTTGCCTCTTCGTCTCAGCATTAACCAACTCCTCCCTCCACGAATCTTTAAGCATCCCAGTCTCCCCTCAAACTCGTCACCTTCCTCCCTTCTCCCATCCCCTCTTCTTTTCTTCCCCTCGCCCCCTGTTCCCCATCCGTAGATCACCAGGGCGGCTGACCTGCAGGCGCTTCACCAAGCTGTGGGAAAGGAATTTCTTGTCCAAGCACCCTGCTACAGCCATGCCGCTCCAGGGTGCGCCTTCCCTGCTACAGCCATGTCTTCCCAGCAAACGCCTTTCCTGAAACAGTCATCCCCAGGGTATCCTTCCCTGCTACAGCTGAGCATTTGCGAAGCGTTGTATCTGCTATTCCTTGCTCCAGCCATGAGCAGTCAGAGTACACGTCACACGTATCACTCTGTATTTCCACCTCTTGTCTCTTTATTTCCACCTCTTCAGATGATGCGAGGATGATGGCCTCAAAAGCCTTGCTCCAGCCATGAGCTTTCAGAGCACACATCACGCGTATCACTCTGTATTTCCACCTCTTGTCTCTCTATTTCCACCTCCTCGTCTCTGTAACCTCCTCACATCCTCCCATCGCATGCATGCCCATGCCCATGCCCATGCCCATGCCCATGCCCATGCCCATGCCCATGCCCATGCAGGAAGGACCTGACCGGATCAATGTTTGAAATCCTCAAGACGTAAGCCATTGCCTCGTGCTTTTTCTAATTTGCCACTTCCCCACGCATCAGGCAGAGCACACTGTTTATCAATCACCCAGTTCCCGCAGTTTACCATGCGAGAGCATGTGAATCTCTCCCAACATGTTCCCCCTCACATGCTCTCTTTTCCCTCTCCACCATATTTCCCTATCGATTCCAACCCCTCCCTTCTCTCCTCCGCCTCTGGAGCTCCATCTGTCTTTCACTCACCTATCCTCCCTCCCTTTTTCTGCATGCACGCATTGAGCCACCCACCCACCACATTCACGCGCTCCTGTTTGTCTGCCTGTACCATACCAGCACCCACGCGTTCAACTTCTACACGCACACGCCAATCAGCGCTCATCGGTGGCACGGCTTCGACCACGAGCTCACTGCTGCATGGCAGGTCAGGCGTGCATGACTCATGGCAGGTCAGGCGTGCATGACTCATACGCATCTGCGTCTCCTATACCTGTCATGTCAGTCCTTCTCTCCTGTGTGGTCCAACCCCCCTTGCCATGCACACCAATCCCTCCTCTCTTGAATCCCGGGCACACCTACCTTGCTCCGCCTGCCATTTCACTTTGACGCGACTGCTGCACTTCAGTTCTGAACAAGCGGATACGCGTCTGATCTCTGTCCCATCCATTCCTGCTTCCCCCTCCCCCCTCACACCAGGCGCTGTGTGCGGCAGTGCTGGACGCACACACAGAGGTGGCTGACCCGCATCGCTACCGCCAGACGATTCAAGACGCCATCCTCCGCCTGGGGTACTTCTGGTATGCATCCTCCCCCATCCTCCCTCCCACCAGGCGCTGTGTACGGCACACTGCCATGGGGTGTTCTCCATGCTCGTGGCTGGGGCACTTCTGGGGCAGGCTGTGCTGTGCTGTGATGTGCTGTGCTATGCTGTGCTGTGCTGTGCTCTGCTGTGCTGTGCTATGCTGTGCTGTGCTGTGCTGTGCTATGCTGTGCTGTGCTGTGCTGTGCTGTGCTGTGCTGTGCTGTGCTGTGCTATGCTGTGCTGTGCTGTGCTGTGCTGTGCTGTGCTGTGCTGTGCTGTGCTGTGCTGTGCTGTGCTGTGCTGTGCTGTGCTGTGCTCTGCTGTGCTGTGCTATGCTGTGCTGTGCTGTGCTGTGCTGTGCTGTGCTGTGCTGTGCTGTGCTGTGCTGTGCTGTGCTGTGCTGTGCTGTGCTGTGCTGTGCTGTGCTGTGCTGTGCTGTGCTGTGCGTGCGTGGCCAGTGGGGTACACACGCTGTGCCTGGCTGCTAATGCATGGGGTACTCTGCGTGCTTGTGGGAGGGTTCACGCATGTTGCTGCCTTGCACAGTGATACACACAGCGCAGACTCACTCCTGTTTTAGATCTGAAACTCCTTTCACACATCATGCCTGCGTGACCCTCACTCATTTCCCTCTCCCCCTTGGCTACACAACAGGTTCCAGCTGATGCCGTTGACTCGCGGGTCCGCCATGGTGGGGCTTGTGGTGATTTGAGTCGACTAAAATTTCAACCCACTTTATTCCTCTCCCTCTCCGCCTTAACTACACAACAGGTTCCAGCTCATGCCGTTGACGCGCGGGTCCGCCATGGTGGGGGTGGTCTCCATCCTCGGCCTCTCCATGACTGCTGACACGCCTCTCGCTATTCTTGTGTATCCTCCACCCATCAACACCCCCCTCTCTGAACCGCACAGGTTCCAGCTCATGCCGTTGACTCGTGGCTCTGCCATGGTGGGGGTGGTCTCCATCCTCGGCCTCACCATGGCTGCTGACATGCAGACCACTGCGCTCATCCCCGATGGGGTGCAGGTAGGCTGAGCCGTACTATTGGAGGCATGGTTGCCCTTTGAGGCTGGAACATTCTTTTCTTTTTCTGCCACGTGCGTTGACTTGACACATGATCACGCCGTTGTCAGCAAGAGATTACTTTTACTCAACAGCAAGACACATCAGATAGCGTCCCAGCGGTTCAGTTAAAAATACAATGACAGGAAGAGCACACTCTTGTCTCTCGAGGTTTTCATAGAGCCTTTTCCCTGGCACGATCAATCACTGAGTATTTGTTTCATTCATACCTCTACCATTCAGGTTGACTGGGAGGCTTTACTTGTGTCTCGCTTTGAAGACTTCAATGCCTCTTTTGCCCCATGGCTCTTCGTCTCTACTAAAAGCTCACCCTGGGATCTAGCCCCTATCGAGGGTGCCTTGCCCACCACGCACCATGTGATTGCGGCATTGAGTTACGATGTGATGCATGAAAAATGAATATTTTTAAAAGTTGTAACGCTTTTCAAATTTTTTTATTTTGAATGCGAAGCAGCTTGTAATGTAGCAATGGTCATCGGCGAACCGTGCTAAACGCCCGTTTTGGACTACAAAACGTGGGCTGGAGGTCATTTCCCTCCACTCACGTCTTTCATTTTTAAACGGCTTAGCCTAGTTTCCCGCCCACCCACCCCGTAGAACTGGGACCAATTATGGATAGTTGATTGATTTAGAATAATTGCATGCTAGCTTGGACATGTCTGTACGATGCCATTTGAAATGAGACGATGCCATTGCTACAACAAGAAAGCAAGCTTTCTAAAATGTGACCATTTGCTGGTTGCCCTCTCTTGCAACATTGTAGTAATTTTTGTTTCATGTTGTAATAATGCAAAAGCGGTGGTCAAATGATTGCTGGTTCTGTGGTTGATGCTGTTTTTTTTTTTTTTTGCGATTGTGGATTTACCGGATGGGTGAAACTTGATATGTGTGCGTTTGTTTGTTTGTTTTTTTTTTTTTTTTTTTGCTTATATGAATTATACACTGGAACAGACAAGTGTACAACCCATAAACAGTCGTAACTGTGCATGAGAGACAGGAAGGCCCGCCTCATAAACAAATTCGATCCTCAAGCATGGATCCGGGGCCTGCGTGGTTTGCCCCATATTGCCGCGAAGCTGTTGGTCCATTTCCAGCCTTTGCCATCCACCACACTGATACGGTCCAGAAGTTTGCGTTCTTGATCCGTCATTTTTTGCCACCTGGCATGCTGACTCTTTCCCCGCCGTTGTACCCTCACCGCCGAGGCACGCAGATAGACATTCACGTGCATGCGGAAAGCTGACTCAATCCTCCGCAGCACTCTCCGCGTGCGGAACTTGCAGCCCCTGAATGCCCCTTCACACCTTTCCGCCCACAGCTGATGAAGGGCGATCGCCACCAATGATGCCTCCGGGAAGGCTGACAGGGATCCCGCCTTCCCAAACAGCCAATCACCAAGCGAGTCCCCTTTCCTGGACGGGTTGATCACTCGTAAAGCCTTTTTAACCGCCGACACCACCCCTTGAATTCTTGGGCAAGCCAAAAAACAGTGTTCCAGAGTTTCAAACTCGTTGCAGTGCGGGCAGGCTGGTTCGCTGCTGAGAAACTCCAGCCTCTCCCCAACTTGTAAGTTAAGGCAGTGTATGCGCAGCAGAACGTCCCTCGGACGACTCGGGGTGACCAGAGATTCCCGAATCTGCACTGCCCGCTTCCAGTCGATGCTGCCACCCCAACGGCTCGCCCACTTCTTCCGCCTAATTTCCCCGCTGTCACCATGTTTCCAATACCTTCTGAGCGCGCGCAGTGGAGTCACACCTCCTTCCGCCAGCAATTTCCTCCGGAGCTGGAGGGGACCCCTTCTCCCCACATCAAACTCTTCCGCAAATCCCACGTTGGGAAGCACGACAGAGACAAGCTGATTCCTCCACTCTTCAGGCGCTGCTGCAAAGGCCTTGAGTGCAAGGCTTGCCGAGTCCCTCCCCCGCAGCTCTCTCTCAAGGGTTTCAATGCTTTTCAGCGTCCCCCGCCCTTCCGCATCTCTGGTGATGAGATCTCCCAGCCGAACGCC